CACACTTTTTATTTCACGCCCATGAACTCTATAAATATAGCCGACCCGCGCCTTAGCACATGCCGCGAGCTTGTTGGGGTTGTGCGCATGGCTGGCAAGCGAGGGTGGTGCAGGAGGGGGATGGGGCAGTTGCTCCACCGCAGTGCGCATGTCTGGAGACCAACGATGGGGAAGGCAAGGGAAGGGAGGGGGGGTGCCTGCGTCTTGCTTGCTCTGGCGTATCTATATACAGCCTGCGTGGTCGTCTTGGTCTTGTTGTGCCCTAGTTTCTGGCGAATTATATATATAGATAAGATAGAGCCAGAATGGTTTATTTAGACACTCGTCAACAACAAAAATTAATATGAATAAGCTATTTAAAATCAATGTAATAATAGATGTAAGTCATAATGTCCCCATTAATTGTGATCCTTTAGACTTTGTTTTGCTCGGAATTGATAAAATAATTATCTTCTCGGCCTTTTGGCTATGATCAAGATGCACTGTCTGTTCTAATCCTGCCGGGCACTTGGTTTTTTTGCCGGGGTCGATCGGTAGAACAAATGAGAGAGCCGCAAGGGCAAGAGACCCGCAAGGGCAAACTTTTAAGAGGGACTACCCCAGTATTGCAGTACTTCTGGTGGAACAAGGGGAGACTTTGAAGAGGGACTACCCCCAGTATTGCATTACTTCCTGTGGAACAAGGGGAGACTTTGAAGAGGGACTACCCCAGTATTGCAGTACTTCTGGTGGAACAAGGGGAGACTTTGAAGAGGGACTACCCCAGTATTGCAGTACTTCTGGTGGAACAAGGGGAGACTTTGAAGAGGGACTACCCCAGTATTGCAGTACTTCTGGCGGAACCTTTAATAAAAAAATAATCATATATATATAAAAGTGAATGTTTGTGGCGGTGTTTGTGGGTTTGTTCCACGTACGTTTTTACATGGATTGATGGATCTTGACCAAACTTGGCACATATATCCATCATAATTCAAGAGGAACTCTTAAGGGATTATGAACTTTTTATAACATTCTTTTTGGGGCCGGGGGGCCCAAATTCGGTTTTTCTCCTTATATGAGCTTTATAAATAAAATGAACAACAAATACTCCTATATGAATGCATGGATCTTGACCAAACTTAGTACACATATACTTTATTATCCATATTCAAATACCGAAGGGTACTGAAATCATAATATCCTTTCTTCTGGGGCCGGGGGCCCCATTCCATTTTCCCTTATATACGCTATATGAATATCAATAGGGTTAGACAACGGTATTGGTTCTATGTTAATTAATGGACCAAAGCCTAGCTTTGTTCATTACGCTTCTTAGTCCATATTGAAATATCGGTGGATTTAAAACTAACAATATTCAATCTAGAATTTTCCAGAAAGTTCGATAATTTTAAAAAGCTATATCTATGGTATTTTTAAATCGATTTCAATGGGAAAAATTTTACATTTTAATTCTAAAATCTTTTGAATGATTTTTATAGGGCCCCTTATTTCAGGCATAATTAAATTAATAGAGTTATAAAATGCCCCCCCCCCCCCGGCCCATCGATTAACTTAAAAGAAAGAGGATTATAATTTTGGCATTTATTGAAGATTTTAATGATATTTGAAAAAATATTTAGATAATGGGACTGTGCCAGGATCGGTGTCAGAATTGGATTAGGGTTCCAATGGGATCGGAGTCACACAAGGATCGGGGTCCTAATGTACTCCCGTGCAATGCCGGGTATATTGGCTAGTATTTAATAAAAAAAGATCTTATCAGTGAGTCATAGTCAAATGACTTGTTCTTAAAATATAAATATATTTGCGGTGTGATGGCATGACTTAGGTTTGATAACTCAGTCGTAAAAGTAATGTAGTGAATGCAGCAGAGCAGTGCTAGACCTGTGTGGACACTATGACAGTCGAAAGGCTCTCTCCTCCATTGGCGTGCCAAGAGGGTGGCAAGGTTATGTGCTACAAACCCTTGCGGCACTTAGGTGTTAACATATAGGATCATTTTATAAATGATGTATGCGTGCTACACGGGCACACTTTAGGGTGTTTTCGACAGGCTTCATTTAGTCAATGTACACCACCCCGCGAAAAATTATCCATGTCCTCCACTTTGAGTTCGTCTCAACTTTTTTAAAAATATCAGGATTGAGAAATAAAATTGTCTCTTCATTTCACTTTTTTTCCCGCTTATTAACTGATCCAATTAACTGACGCTCTTTTCATTCTCTTTCCAGCTGTCATCAAAATAAGTCTCTAAAATTTCCCTTTTCATTTTTACCGTATTATTAAAATTTTACATTTTCCCCTTTCGTTTTCTTTTTTCTGTCTTATTATATAACTTGTTGCGCAAGGAAGTGCCTGAAATGTCCATCAGTACTATACCTGACGTCATTACAAGCACTTTCAAGTTAAAAAAAGTTTAAAACCCGAAATAAATGGATCCCTGTCTTGGGGCACCTCGAAGTTGGGGTCCCCTAGGCAGGTAACTATTTTGCCTTTAGGTTAACCAGGCACTGCGTGCAGGAATCCCTGGTTATGAACTCTTGCTCTTGATGATTCACTAATATCTCTTCTCTTAAGTTTCGGATACATTTTTTTTTCAACAATTTTTATCTACACAGAGATAAACAGCAATGATGACCACAACCACCTAGAAACAGATTTGAAGTGCCCTTTGATATGGGGGG